TGTGTGTGTGTGTGTGTGTGTGCATTTATTTCAATTTTCTGTGAATTCTATGAATTTAAAGGTATTAAAAGGAATTATGTTGTCCTTGTTTGACCACTGATTTAAAGAGAGGATTTTATTTTTAGATACATAATCTTGTACACTCACCAGACACTTACACTTAATTAGGTACACCTTGCTAGTACCAGATGCCTAGCCCCTTTTTTTTGCCTTAATTGTGGCTTAATTCTACGTTGCACAGATTTCACAGTGTGCTGGAAACATTCCTCCTCCTTCGGTCCACATTGACTGACAGCATCACATGGCTGTTGCAGGCTTCTTGGCTGAAAATTCATGATACAAATCTCCTATTCCACGATATCCCACAGGTGACTGTGGAGGCCATTTGACCATAGTCAACTCATTATTATATTCAAGGAAAATGTTTGAGATTAATTGAGCCTTGTCAAAACATCACTTGGTGCATTATTCTTCTGGAAGTAGCGGTCAGAAGATAAATGGATGGACATGGTCAGCAACAATACTCAGGTAGGCTGTTTAGATAGTATAAGCGGCAGTTTCTGAAGTACTTGGACCATCCTGCCTGGCTCCAACAACCATTCCAAGTCACTTAAATCGCCTTTTTTCCACCATTCTGGAGCTCATTATGAATTTCAGGAGGTCACATGCCTTATATGCACTGCTGTCTAGTGATTGGCTGATATTTGTTTTAACAAGAACACACAAGACCAATAATAATTTTCAAAGATAAAAAACAACAAATCAACAAAAACTTACCAAGCGTCTTAGTCAAAGTATATGAAGAGTTTATTGAAAATGGAAATGGATTGGCATTTATATATCAGTTCTGTTGTATCAAAGCACTTTATATTGCATGATATTAGGTTTGATGATGGTGAAGGAGACACTGTCTAAAAAGTCCGATCAAAATTCCCCATACTGTAGGTGTTCAGTCATTCTTACATCATGCTTTAATACTTAGTAAGCCCCTGACTGAAACCTCATGCCCTATGAATTGGAGCACTGTTATCTTGGGAGAGGCCAACTGTGATCATTGTTTTGATTTGCTGTGACCCTCCATACTGTGGAGACATGTAGACATAAACCGTTCTAGCAAAATGTTGCCCTTGGCATGAAAGAGCCACCAAATCTCCTCACAGTTCAGGTCAAGAGTTCTTTTTTTTTTTTTTTTACTTTTGTCTGTCATTTATAGATAGATACATGTGTGCATTTTTGAGTAACTGATTACCTTTTATAGGAGGAGTGTCTCCTGTACAGTCAATGAAGATCGTGTTAGTGACCAGCTCCTTCACATCGCTCTCAAATCCCAGCAGGGTGCAAGCCAGCTGGGTTAACGCCCTCAACTGGTGGGAGGTCAAACTAAAGCTCCGACTTTTCGTGGGAAGCTCCAGTGGTGCTGTCAAGGGGGGAAAAGAGAAGAGATCAAATAAACAGTGTGCATGCTTAGGAATGCATGACTAGCAAAGAGATGCACTACAGTTTACAGTTCAGTAAAGGAATAAACATTTTCATGAAAATGGGTTTTCAACCCAACCTCCCCGCCTACATGCACTCATCGGAAAACACCACCCTCCACAAGTCTTGCCTCGCACAACACCTCTTATAAATATCGACCCATTCATGTTTTCCCAAAACACGGCACAAACAAAGAGACAGCGAAAAAAATATGCAAAACTTTGCTCCCAGAGAAGTCACACATGCACATCCCTCTCTCTCAGCACAAAACTTTTCTCCCCATAACCCGCCGATGACCCCCTTGGCAAATATGGATTTCCCATTTTGGAGGCTGCCAAAGCCATCACCCAGGGGATGTTCCGCATTAAGCTGGAGAATGGGCGGCTAGGAGATGCGTTGCCATACTCCCAGACACATGCACAAATACTTTTGTGTGTCCGCTTAAATGAGCTCCTCCACTGCAAAGGCATTTGGGAATGGAAGAGCTCGGTATTAGCCTTGACTCTGAAAGCTCGGAGATGATTGAGCGTTGAGACGGGAAGAAGAGGGGGGTCCTTTTCCAATAATTGTAACATTATTGCCTCTGAATCCTAATGAAATTTTGCCATATTGTTAAACAAAATCTGACAATATGAAAACACATTGTCCCCAAGGATGCCTGGTTTAATCATGCATGAGGTTTGACTCAGTGTGCTGTGTGTGGGCACTTGTGTATGTTTATATGAGTGTTAATAAATGAGAGTCGATGAGTTTTTGTGTGTTTTCGTATCTGTTGGGTGTGCGCACACTTGTTTACGAGCATGTAACGCAGGCCATTATGAATAACTTGATTTGCAGGAGGTGCTCGAATGCACATTTGCACATGTCAGTCGTGCAAGACAATTGTCACACACCAACCGGATTTCTATGGCCACCATGGAATAAAAATTCTGACCTCAAGTTTTTTTGTTTTTCCAAGTCTGCGTCTATACATATATTTATGTGCGTGTGTGTGTGTGTGTGTGTGTGTGTGTGTGTGTGTGTGTGTGTGTGTGTGCGCGCGCGCGCGCGGCTGTGTGAAATCGCAAGTGAACAGATGTGTAATTTGGTGTGTTTGCTTACGTTCATGTATATGTGTGAGCGCGTGCATGTGTGTGTAATTAAGCTGCATGGGTCTGCAGCTTAGCAGCTCCTCTGTAATGGGGTCCAGTGGGAGTCTGTGCTAGAGAGACTACATCATGCTGCATGTGTACACGCGTGACCTGGCTGACACCCATGTGCCTGTCTCGTTCTCCAGCTTGCACATTCACGCACGCACCACCAATCTTGTCTATTTCTGAAGTCACCAGCAAATCAAGAGCTAAAGCTGTCAACAACTCAAGAGTAAACAATCAACCGGACAAGCCAGGAAATGTTGTTGATATAACCACACAGTTACTGCACCGGATTATCTAAAAAGTAGGGATGCATTAACTTATCAGCCAAACATCGGCTGTGGCTGATAGTCACATTGCCATTAGCGTGTCTTCTTAATTATTGAATATCTATATCTGTGCATTATCCGTGTGTCTGTCTGTCTGAATACTCTCAAAACTGTATCCATTTTTAAAGGGTTTATTTTGTGGTACATAAATCTACGATCCATGTATGAATTTATGCTCGGCATGAAATAGCTATATACTATCTATACTATTTATCTATATCTATACTGAGTTCTCTGTTTTGCTTGCACAGGGATCAACAACCTCAAAAACAAAATAAATAGAATCGATAGTATAATTAAGAGTAACAGTAACACTGGTTAATTTGGCCAATTCAATTCCCAGTCGGTGCATCTCTACTAAAAAGCTGCCACTATATCCCCACCCTGTTGCCCCATTTTAACCTTCTCTGTGGCATACAGCAACCATTAACCACCACCTCAGTCTAAGTATCACCTTTTCCAGAGCTTCTTTCTCCTCTTTACCATTCATTCTGTTCATTCCCTCAACCTGTGACCCTTTGACAGCTCCACTTGCTCACTAAGTCACACCCTAAATAGTCGCACGCATGACCTTGATGTTCAGCAATGCTGTGCCTCAGCCTTTCATTGGGGTCTGCAGCACAGCTTATATAGGTATTTATAGTCGTCTCCCTAGCCAAATAGCCCTATAGCCATAGCAGTCTAGTACATAGCCATCTAAACCTCATTATACCTTTGTCACAACAGTGAGGCCAAATGAAGGCTCCCATAGCCACTTGATGGAGAGGGTGTGCTTAAAAGCACCCAGGTGTGTCATATAGCATAGTACATGGCATGTCTTATAGAGCAGAATGAGGAAGGGCACTAGCAGCCAGAAGAGTTCAACCAAAGGTCAATGTAGTGAGAATCAATAAAGGAGGAGCCAGTGGTGAAAGCGGGGCAAAAATTATATGTTTATACAGTATAACAGCTCCTTCCATATAACATTATGGACGGAGCTTATGAGTGAGGATGCTCCTATAAACAAAAAGACAAATGTTAAGCCATATTCTGTGATAACCATTGAAGCAGTTGGCATCTTATCAAAAAGCCCTCAAGGCAAGTAGTGCGCTATTCATCTTTATGTTTCATGCGAAAACAGTGCCATTGTTGAAAAAATGTCCAGGAAAAATCAAACACCGCAGGTCTACAGTGGCCAGTTTTTAGTTTGTATCTTTTAATAATGACAACAATGTAACACAAAAGTGGGAGGAAAAAAAACAGAGCAGGTATTTTTGGCAAGCCATCATTCTTCTACTTTTCTCTGTGGGTTCCACCATCTCCACAGTCCTCTCTCTCACATACGCACACATGTGTGCACACAAACACTGCTCATGACTGGCAGAGAACAGAGAGAGAAGGGAGAGAGGAGGAGATCTAGGGGAAGGAAAAGGGGTGGTGGTTAGGGATGAAAACATGGGGAAGAGAGGGAGGGAAAGAGAGGGAGGGGCGGGATAAGGGAATTCCCTTAGCAGTTGTTATTGATTCCGGTGTTTACGGGCGAATAGTTTAGTGCCGTTTACAAAACAGAACAGATGCAGCCAGTGAGCAAAAAGGTAAACAATTGCTGTGTGGCGGGCTGCCAAATCCCCAGTCTGATGTATTAAACTCACGGTGAAGAGCATTTCCCCTTTGGCTGCACTTATTGCCACTTCATTTCCTCTTTGCTCACATACACATTCTCTCCTTCTTGTCATCTCGCGCCTTCTCTGCATCTTTCTCTTTCTCTCTCATTCCCTCGTTTATCTGAGGGAAAAGAAAAAAAAAAAAAAGGATGAGGGTGTAGGTGGCTTTTTTGCCGCCTGGCTATTTTCTGTCCTTCTCTAACCCAGGAGGCCCAGTTCTTCCTAACAGAGCCATTAGCAGGGGGAATTGCATGTGTCTGACATGGCCGAAAACCAATTATTAGACACTTTCTACCAAATGATGCCCAAGTCTTTGGGGAATGGGCAATCATGCAATAATTTAGCCACTGATTTAATTTCTCTCCAGCACAGCATTCCCTTCCTTTTTCATCCTCCTGTCCCTCTATTCCTCTTCTTTCTTTTGCTCTGTCTCTCTGTAGTAAATCCGACCGTCTGAGGGTGGTCTGCCTATGCGATGCCACGCTGGACTATAGGCTCTTATCATGTCATTGCAATATGTGAAGGCAACTTTTCCATGTTTGTGCAGATGCCTGTGTCCTATAATACCCTCTACAGGTGATGTAAACATGTGGTTTCATTAAATCTCACCAGATAAGGAAAAAGTAATTTTAGAAGACAAGGCAATTTTAGTACATCTTACATATTGGAAAATCAAAGTGCTTTACATAGTTCATAAAATGAATAATACTAAATTAGACAGATGTCCTCTTGTTCAATGAGGCTTTTTTTATTTGTTTTTATTAATATCCTGAAAGTCACCTAAATAAAAACAGGGATATAATTCTAGAGCCTTGTTTACGTGAAATCTCTAACTCTAATTTTGAAGGACAGGTATTTTAACCGCTGTTATCAGAACAGATCAACATTTCACTCCACATTCAATGCATTCAAAGGCAATGAATTAAGCAAAATGCAAACATTTTCTTTTGTTCCATGAAAATCATGAGTCAAATGATGACTCTTGATTTGTTTTTGTAGCACTGTTCTTTGTAGCAACAAAATCCTTTATATACCTGTATTGACCTTTGTGGTAACCCGTTAACATTTCCCAGTTTACAGTTCCTGAACACACAGTTAACACATATTGTACTTCTAAATGCAGAACAAACAGTACAAGTAAAGCACTGACTACACCTGACTTGGCACACTCCCTTGTTAGTTTTTCCTGCAGTGGTCATAGGTGTATAGCTGCATGAGTCTGTTAGTGCTCCACTTTACTGTTAACATGGAGCTATTGCCATGCTATACTTTCTCTTCCTGCTTGTGTTTTCTGTGTACCCATGCCTCCTAGTGTGCTCATCTCTCAGGGTGTCAAGCAGGGTCATATGGGTGCCTTGGGGTACGTCTGTGCACCTTTCAGTGTGTATTTGGGTAGAAGGAGAGTATGAAGTCACTGTGGACCGGCTGCTAGGCCCTGTGACAGCTGGGGTCCTCTTCGTCAGTTGCGGCCCACTGCTCACCCAGACAGCCTTATTATGGGAGGCCTCCTGCCGTGATTTACCAATATATACTCTGACACAAGCACAAACATGAACACACACACACACTGTGATCTCTTGTGGCCCTTTCCATGGGTGCTGTCCAACCAGGGCACAGCAGGGGCCACCGAGCACTTCACATAAAGAGAAAGTAGCAATGTTTGATATCTCAATTAAGTTGCTCTGCAAGGAAGAATGTGTAGTTGTGACGATGGAGGTGGTGTTTTTTGTGGTTACAAAGACGCAAACTTTTTCTTTCGATTTGAATGTATTTTTGTGTCCTTTTCCTGTGTCTTATTTTGTTTCTGGCTCTCTTTGTGATGAGCACTGCAGTGACAGTGAGATAGAGGTTAAGATTTCTCTGGCTCCCTCTGCATACTTGAACCGAGAGGGCTGGATGAAGAACACGAAAGAATGTATTGTCCTGATGGGAGCATTTCATTAAATCCCACTTGTTTAGTGCCCTTGTTCGCATCATTGTTTTCAAGCCCTCAGCGAATCACACTGACTCTTCATCACGAAGCGCTGGCTGCTCTCAATAAGCCAGCCATTTTTGTCTGTGCTTCCTCAATAGAAGGTGCCAGGAAAATGTTCATATCCTTGAGCTGTTCAAGAGTGATACACAAAAGCCATTGTGGCCACTCTGAGGAAATGGGGGAAAAAAAAAAAAATGGCACGCATATGACACATTCTCAAGGGCCATGAAACATATTCTTTTCTGCCATTTCACTGGAGCCATGATTTAGAGAAGATGAAGAAGATGACAGACACACACATAAACACAACCGCAGAGTAAAGACCCTGATCTTCTCATTAAGATTAGTAAACAATCACTTGCACTGTTTGGTAACTTTCTTAACCAAGGGCTTCTCATCATGTGCAAGGATAGTAAGAGAGCATTAAATAAAAAACCAAAACACACAAAGCGACAAAAAAAAGAAGAAAAAAACAACAGCATCCATAAACTCCAAGCATCACACAAAGACATGTGCATACGTGTACTCAGTGACACACACAAACCCCTCTACCTAGCCCATAATTACATGGAGGCATGCGTGTGCACGTCCCAGGCTGACAGTGTATATAAACTCAGGCAGAGATATGATCTAGTGAGGAGCTGCTTTTATTAAATATTAACAAACGCCATTCCCAAGTAGCCTCAATCCCCACAAGCACCTCCAATGCCAGTCTTAGCCTCAGCCTAGCTATCTCGAGTCACTACAGAACCTCTCTCCCTGCTGAATAGGCTGCTGTGCTTTCTCTAAGAAAGAGTTCAAAGAGCCAGAAAGGGTGACGAGGGGGGAGTTGCAGTGATGGTGAATGTGCTTGCTATACATGTTCTAACTCAATCCTTTTTTATCTATAGGGAGCTGCCAACGTAGTCATATGGGGAAATTAGTGGAAGTGGAATTTAAATCAGTGTTATCGGAATGGGGTTGCAGAGTGTTTGAACAGAAATTCACAACCTCGACTTCACCCCTGTGGTCGATTGTTAGGGAAGAAAACTGTGAGTGCGCGTGCAGCGAAGTTAGAATGAATGCTTTTGATGTCCTACAAAAACATGGATCTCCTATGCATACATATGTAAATTACTGATGCCATATATGGAAATTTAATGATGCATTTTTAAAAAGGAGGTATTAAATGACTCTTGATAATGTTTTTTTTAAAGTAGGCCTGAAATTAGTATGCTCACACACACACACATCAGAAACAACCCAGAAAGGTCACTGAAAACAGAGTTTGTACGAACACATGTTGACTTACAAAGTCACGCATACCCCTTAAAATGAAAATCAACAGGTGTAAATATATTGCACAAAAACACTTTTGGTAAAACTGCCAGTTTTTCAGTTGCAATTTTTAGCTAATACAGTGTGGCAACTGTATAACTGTAAATGTCTGTATTTGCAATCCAACTTATACTTTCGGAAATCATATCATTAAGGGCCCAGAAAAATGCTTTTAAAGTATCAAAACTGTAGATAATGTAAAAAATATTACTTGCCTTGTTTTGGCAAAATTACACACACACACACACACACACACACACACACACACACACACACACACACACACCACACCTAAACTTGGCCCGCCCACTTCCCTACCGACTCAGTGAGGTGTGTTAGTAAGGTCTAAAGCCCGTATTGTTCCTGACCAACCAACCTGTCTCGCACTTGCCCCAGTCCCACTGTTCACCCCATTACAGCTGGAAAACTAGGAGGAAAATGGGAGAAGAAAAAGGGTGAGAAAATGGACATGGAAGAGACGAAGTAAAGGAAAAGCAGTGAGGTGGAGGTGCTCAGACCCTTTAAATCTGTCTAGGTACAATGTCAAAGTCTGCCTTTGAGTCGGTGGGGTTAAAAGAGGAGGCAGATCTCGCTGTGAACGTTGTTAAATGGTTCAGTGGTTTGACAGTGGCTGATGCTACAGACAGCGCTACTCCCCTGGGAGTCCGCAGATTCTCCCAGGCATGGCTCTTATCAAAATATACCTACCGCCTGCCTCTTCTTCAGAAATAAACAATAACACAGCAGGGGAAGAGGGAAAGATCTAAGGAGTCATTGGATGCCTATGAAAATAGAATGCCTTTTTTTTTTTACTGCTGTCATAATTGTCTTGACAATTATGGGTGTAGCATACAGTATAGACAGTAAAGTGTGAAAGCAGATTATGTGTTAATGTTTAAGCCATGGGCATTTGGATAGAGGATATGTGGTTTCCTGAGCTTTTTTTTTTTGTAGTGGGGGGACGACTCAAAAAATGAACAACAGGAAAATGTAATCCCAGTTGTAGCCCTCAAAGCTCTCTTGCAGCTGATAGTTGAACACACACACAAACGCATAAGTAAAGCCAGCACAGGCAAAACTGCTCCATTTTACCATCATTACACAGCACGGGTCCCTCGCTCCCTTTGGAGCCATGTTCTGCCTCCGGTGCTACATTTGACGGTTTGTTGAGCGGCACGTAGGTGTGTAGCCTCCACAGCGTTACGTGATCAAACAGCCCAACTGACGCATGGCCAATTATCCTGGCTCCCTCCTCTCATCTCACGTTTAAGGAGAGGGAAAGTAAAAACCAAAGAGGGAGATGGAAAGAGAGAGATGGGGGGGAGCAAAGCTGGTGGTGTGTTTGTCGAAGAATCGCAGATGCAAAAGTACTTCTCCCCCTGTTCCACAGGGAAGCTGACATGTGCACCATTTTTTGTGAAAAGTAAACAATGGCTCGCACACTTGTTTTTATTGTGAATGTTTGCCATCAGCGAGCTGTAAATAGGCCAAGATGAGGAAAACAACGAGAACGCTGAAGGAGGGGAAAAGTATCAGAGGGTGACACAGGGAGCGAAGGTTTGCCCTTTTCTGGTCTTTGTGTATAATACTACTTCTTCGTCCAACAAAGTGACACATTTTATATTAGTGGCAAATATTAAAAGATACTTCTTGAGGTTTCTTTTCTCTCTAAAATACCATGGCATGTGTAAAAAGATCGAGAGAATGTTAAACTCTGCTCTTATTCTGCTCTTAATTTAACTGTCATCAAGCGCTTTGCAAATGTTACACTGCATATATTCTCTTAGGTTCAAAAGATTAAAGTGGTTAAACACACCTTGACCAAGCCTTAACTATTCCGAGATCAGGGCTTATTGCTGTCATAAATGCAGTATGAGTAAATAGTGTTTAAAAGTATATTTGTCCTGAAAGTAAACCTCTTTATCCTGTTGGCAGGCAGCAACGAACGCAAACACAGAAAACAGTGCAGTAAAAAGAAAGCATTTATAATGGGAACAGCAGTTATTGACAGCCACTTACAGAGGCCTTGGTTCTAGCTCAGATCACTACCACTGGAGAGCAACGACGGAGAGGAGCAAGAGAGAGAATCACCTCTGCTGGGTTACAATGAGAAGCAGGTGGAAAGAAGGCAGATGCGAAAGAAACAGCAACGAGGCTAAATAAACTAAATGTACTCTGCTACCGACAGAAAGAGGACAAAGAATAAATGAATGTAAAAACATTTAGAAAAAAAATTATGCTTACCTACAGTTGCCCGGGATTTGACTGAATACTTTTTTGTCTTGACGCTCGGGGCAGTGTTGTCTCTGTGAGCTGTCTCACATTCTCTCTCCATCAGGGAGGCAAACTCTGTGGCCACTGTATTGAGGTAGGCTTCATTAATAAAACCAAGGATCGTGTGTGGTTCTGCTAGTCCTGAAAGGACGTGGAGCTCCTCTTTGAGGGCTTGAGTCAGTATTGGCACCATGCTGCAGAAACCCATAGCCAGCCTGTCAAAACCAGTCTCACCAATTTGACTGGTGGACAGGGTGGAGTGCACAATACCCAGCACGTATTGCCGTGTTAGGCCCTGGATACACAAAAACAAAATATTATGTCTGTGTGAGATTAGCAGTGCCTTTGACATGCATGTGAAGTGAACACCCTCTACTCATCTGGAATTTATATGAACTGAAAAATGGAAATCGTTTCTTATTTTAGTGTACCTGGTAAAATTGCAGCACCTCTGACTCGGGATAAAGAAAGAACATCTGCTGCAGACACTGAACCCGTTCAAGGATGGACAGAGCGGTTGTTTGTCGAGGTCCAGGAAGCTCTGGACTACGGGGAAACAGTTGGTCCATCAGGTAGCGTCTGAGTCGGAGTCGCACATCATCCCACACCTCCTGGATCTTTAGTAAAGATTAAAGATTAAAAGAAAAAACAGTAAGTACAAGTCAGCCCATAAGACATTAAATTAGTCTGTACGGAAACAGCGAAATGGATAATAAATGGTGCATTACCTCTAATGAAGCGTCTTCTCTGACTGTATGTACCAGCTGGATGGAGGAGGCAGTCAGTTGAGAATGAAGAGACGTAAGTGGGGATGAAGAAGAGTGGTTACAGGGGAAGCAAATACCGCACTGGGACGACAGATTCAGCAGTAGCTGAAGCGTCACCTCTTCTTTCGACTCTTCTTCAGATCTCAGGTACTGTTGCTGAAAGGAGAAGGTCATTTAAGATTTTAATTTCACAAGAGAAAGAGGAAAAATACCTGAAGGCAGGGCAGTGCAGTATGAGCGTCTTCTAATCTTAACCGCTTATTCATAAACAAAGCTGCTGCTTACCAGATAGCTGGATATTTCATAACAGAAAAACACCGGAGTTAAGTGGGATTTGAGATCACAAACGATGAAATGATTATGATCACGATAAGTTATCAGACATCCAGCTTTCTCATTTTAGAGAGAAATTATGTGTTACAGATTGTTGGTGAAATGTTTACAAAGAATAGCTGGAGACGATGATGACGATAATAACGAGTCATTAGGATTTTGATGCATTACCAGAGCTCTGAAGAAGTCCATAAGCTCTTGATGTCCTTGGGTAACAGGCCTCACACTCTGTTGTGTTTTGAGGGAGAACCACTGCAGCCACTCTGTGGGACTCAGTGGACGCTCTGCTGTGCGGGAGTCTCCTATTTTAGCCTGGAGTTCCTTCAGCTGCTGTTCAATGCTGAGCACAAAAAAAGATATATTACAGAAATCAGAGAGCTAAGGACTATAAAACCATAGAGAGGTTCCAAGTACAAGAATAAAACACATACCAAAGTAACCTTAACCTTAGTAAATTTAAGACATTGGATGGAAAATAGATTTTAACCAGCAAAACAGAAAGAAATGAAATAGATTTTTAAAAACGCAACCTCATAAATTCAATTTTGTCTCAAATTTGTGACTGGACAAAATGTTACAGTCAAGATCATCTGGGAAGGAGCCTTCAATTTCACAGGTGACTTTTGAGACATTTAAACAAAAACAATCATTGAACCATACTCAAAAGCTGGTGCTACACCATAAGCACACAGGAACAATGCATAAAATATGTCAACGCAGCAGTGATACAAACAAAAAGACTCGGTGATAAAAATACACACGGACCTACACAGCACGTCACATTTGGCTCTCCCTCACTCCTATTCAGTGTCTCTGCTGTGAGAAGACACATACAGAAGCATCAACAGTAATGAACACAGACATCGATATATCAGTGTGCAAGTGTGTGCTAAGCATCTGGTGTGAAGTGGCATTACAGACATTGGCAGGCATCTGAGGCACACAGTTCTTGCAATCTCATGTCTTACTTGTTCCCTTGACACACACACATACACAAACACACACACACACACACAGACACACACACACACACACACACACCGCTCTTTTGATTTTAACAGACGGCATCAGCTATTCAGTTTCCTCTTTAATGTGACGGATTAGAAATGACATCTTTGGGCTCGACATGTTTAGTCATTTCCATGCAAATCAATGCATATATATCTGGGTATGTAAGACGGTGCATGCATGTGTGTGCATGTGTGTGCGTACAACTACATACCTGCATAATTAAGCATGTATGCTGTTGTGAATGCTACTATTGTGTTCCTTTTTGATTGTGTATTCATAGTTGAGCTTGTGCTCAAGGCTTTGTGAATGTATGTAGTAGTGCATATAGTGATAGTAGAGCTTGAACAAATCATCTGGAAATCCACTAGCTGACGAAAAAAAAATCAAGTAAGAAATTCATATAAAGAAAAAAAAGTATGAATCACAGGGTTGATGATTAAATAATGGCATATCTTGGTGTCAATGTAATTACTTTGGGACTTTTGAGAGGTAAATTTGAAATGCATGACTATGTGATCTAGTACTTCCCGTGCCATAAAAGATAAATATTCAAATAGTGAAACAAGTAAAAGAAAAATATATTTTTCTGCACACCTATACTTCTGTCTCTCAGACATGTGCACATATGCTTGTATGTGTGTTAGTATACATGACACAAAGCCAAAGTGCAATTTCCCCATCAGACAGCTCAGCTCATCCCCTATCGGGGGACTATAAAGTGCCTCCTGCCCGCTCCTGGGCCACGAACACATCCAGATGTCTTACAATGGCAACACATTAAATAACCGTTCAATCTGACACATTTTCGTTTCAGAGGGGAAAAACGCAAGGGGATAAAATGTTATAGACTGTTACAAACTGCCATCCTGTAGATTGAAAGCTGCCTGATGATACTGTTCTCGCTCTCGTTAACTACCTTCCTCTCGCATTCTTTTCGTCTTTAGGCAGGCCAGATGATGCATCTCACTTTATTCTCTTGACACCAATGTGCCCACTGACAGAAACCCTGATTATAAAGTGCCGTTTTTGTATGTTTATAGAGATTTGATACCAGAAAATACTTGCTACACATATGTAGAACTGTCAGTTCTACATATGCGTAGCAAGTCTTTCACCTTACCATGTGTCTGTATGTGTGATTTTCTATTTCTGCCTTTCTAGGTACGCTTACTCCATAGGAAAAACATTGCCTTGTGACAGATTGTGAGTGCTGCAATTCTTCACTACATTTGCCCAAAGCTCACTGGTTGTAAAACACAGCTTCAGCAAGGTCCAAGCAAAACTCCGAACTGCCCATGGCGCTGTGTGTAAAATTAGTATACATCACTTTAAACAACACAATGGAGTGCTGAAATGCTGGTTTGTTTGTGCGAGACCTCTGGCTTTTCTTTCTCAAAGGAAAATATAGCAGTGAGTTCCTGATAAGCAGCAGTTCTGGATACAGTGGACTCCAAAGAACAACCCTTTACTTTTCTCTGTTTTAAATAACTCTCGGAACAGTTGCTGTAGATTAAATGGCTTCAGAGAGCATTGTATGTGTGTTTATGGTAAGTCATAAACATGGATGTTCATTCAGGGCTCCCCATCAGGACTTCAACATAGACAGAAGGTTTCAAATGGCTGTCCATCTGTAGCTCACTGCTCACCAACTCTCCAGTTCATGTAACACAAAAATGTAAGTAGACTGAACTTTCTACTTAGATAGCCTTGGACTCGTTCTTGCTATACACATGCAGTATATATCAGTGCGATTGACAGACATGTTTGACCAATATAAGGCCATAGACTGAGACAGGGGGGGAATTGCTCTAAGGCTTCAAGTTTTCCCCAGTTCCACTCTTCATCACCTCACTCTTGCCTTCACCCAAGAAAAGCATGCTCTAATAGCTATAGCAAATACACCTGCTCTCCGGGTACATTTTCAAGGCTTGACTCCATAGCCTTTTTCTCTCTCCATTTCTACTTTTTCTTTTCTCTCCCCTCAACACTCTTACTTTCCTAATTTTTTTTCTTTACTTTCGCCTTTCAATTACCCCTCCTTAAGGCCTTGTGCTCTAAGTCATAAAGTCAATGTGGATGGTCTGTGTCAAGAAGTCCATCCAGCTTTCTACAATGTGATGACCTTTTGGCCGCTGGTGTGAATGCTACCTGCAGCCTAATCAACTTGGCAGGATTAGCTCCAAACCTGATGACTTCCACTGCCGGCAGCTTGGACGGTGAGGAAAGAGACAGAAAGAGTATGAGAGAAGAGGAAGGCAGAAATGGGTAGAAAACAGAGAAGTCACAGAAAATAAAACCACTCAACCATCTGTGTAAAGACAACAATGGACGAACCCTTAATGGCAAAAACGCCAGAGCAGAACTCAACAAAAGACCCTGAGAATGAGAAAGGAGGCAGAGGAAACTAGGAGGAAAGAATTCTTTAGGCCTCTTGACAAATATGTCAATCATCTTACCCTAACTGACTGACACACACACACACACACACACACACACACACACACACACACACACACACACACACACACACACACACACACACACACACACACACACACACACACACACACACACACACACCGTTACTGCTGAAGTGAAATTTAATTGTTTTTCAGTCTAGTTCAGGGAGATCAACACCCGCCAACCTTCACCACCGCTGAGAGAGAAAGGGAGCAACTGGAGGTCTTTTATTAGATATGATGGCACATTTCACAGCTCCGTGACTTACAGAAACCCAATCCTGCGATTAGTCAGCGCTTTGACGTTATCTTAAGTTTCTTGTCAGAATTAATTTAGTGTGGGTGGGCTGCTGTGGGGCCGTCTGTCTGCCGTGCTCCGCTCCCCTCCGTTTGCCTACAGGAGGTGGGGGATGGAGACAACGGGGGCAGGAAGATCCCTTTCAAATAAGCCCCAGCTCCAGTCAGTGCCAAACCAGCCGCCTGAGAACTAAATATCTCCCCCATCAAAGGAGCCTATTCTGTAAGGGGAAAAGGAGTGAATGAGCTTGAATGAACAGGCTGAAAACGAATCCCGTCTTGGCCCAGTCTGTTGCCCACTTAGTGTTTTCAGCCGTCATCCCCCAAGACACACAGCCTACCCATGATACCGGAGAACTGATATAGGTGATATACTAACTTAACACACGTGTCACACAGAGCTTAACACAAAATCAACGACATACATTGAGGACTAGTATTTTTGTTCACTGAAAAGGAACGTTGCACGATATTCTACTGTGGCACGTTTTCAGTTTCTTTGGTATGCACACGCATTGAAAATCACACACACACCAAGAATTAAATGTAAAAGTATTGATACTCTACCCTGATCAAGATTGGCAAGCGATTAGTGAGAGTCATTTGCCTTGCCCGTGTGAAACTAGAGGCCTGTCTGGAGTCTCAGTGCTTGTGCTGACACTTCATTAGAGGTCTTTTCCTGGTGGCCTGCTCCATCCGGCAACACACACCCACCCCTTCACTGTCCCATCTGATGAAAACTAATGGATTACAGCATTTCAATTTGGGGGAGCCAGCTCTGTTGTCAGCCTATCTTACTCTCCTTCAATTAAACAGCAGCTCTTAGGCAAATCTCTGACATCTGAGAACTGGGAACAAGCCAGTCATTCTGACCCATACATGGGCTGAAGTCCTTCAAGGGTGAAGGCAGCTCTGTTTCCTCTGCCTCCCAATTTTCCTTTCCTTTCCTCCACTTCCGCAATTTGTCTCAGACACTGATAAATCAATTAGGCAGCAGGTGAGTGAGCTTTGGATGTATGTGTAGGTGTGTATACGTCTGCAGTCCACCCAGGTTAAAGGCAAACGAGAGGCCTTGCGAGATTTTATTTGCCTGGATGCGTCCCGACAGAAAACGAGTAGTCTCGGAGGAAGTTGGCTGCAGTCTTGCAGAGATACTGACCAGTGGTCCCCCACGGCGAGAGGAGGATTGCCTTATTTTTAGCCCCATTCTCCATTATCTGGACGCTTTGTTCTCATAATGGTTATCCCTCTCCCATCTGCAGGAACACAAAATAACCCTTTAATGCTTAGAAAGCAGAAAAATGGCCCGGCCTTCTGTAATAAGCCTTGAATTACCTACCCAAGGGTTTTCGTTTCAAGATGTGGAATCTTCAATTATTATGTTCCCATTTAGAAGGAGGAAGGAAAGAAAAAGAGAAAAGGGGAGGGAGGCAGCGAGAGAGAGTGAAGAAGGGATGAGTCCCAGACACTAATGGTGCCAGAGTGAGGCTTTGTTCACTTGCTACATTTAGCCTGTCCTTCATCATCTGCCCTCAGCCTCACAACACCACAAACGATAAAAGACCTGAAATATAGATTTCTCTTATTTTTCTCTTCCCCGTGTCTCACTTTTTAACAATCTACTTGTACTCCCTAACTATACGGATCTGTAATAAATGACTGATACCTATATTTCACTCCTCAGTGCATAAAAGAAAAAAAACAACCTGGGAATGCATTTCTGCCATATATGATGACCAGACTGCTCTTACTGTATAATTAAGAAGAATTTATAAAACAAACCTGAATTTTTGGAGAAGATATAAACTTTGAAAGGTGTCCCTTATTACAATAATCCCCTCAATAATGAACAGTGACAGAATTAAAATGTTAGAAACTATATCATTTAAGTTGACAAAGACATCGTATCCAGTAGTCACAAACCACATTTACATGTGTTATTAGAATATCTAATTAAAACTGAATCAGAAAGCAAGTTACAATACAGTGGTGCATCTTGGTCAGATTTAATTCCCGACTACAAAGTAATAAGACAATCATTATCAGCTCTCGTTTTTTTCCTGTTCTGTTGTGTGAATTATTTACTTTAGTTTCACAGTTGTAATCAGAGTGTGGATTTAATTACTGTATTTAAGATTCGAGAACACGCAGCCACACTGATAATCTGTCATTTAACTCCTCCACACGGCTGCCACTGTTTACCAATCTTGCAACAGATGCTGCGTTATACATCTGTGTATATAACCACAAAATCTGATTTTGTTGCAACCAGCTAAAACATACACACAGACAAGCACAGACACAAACACGCACACAACTGTGATCTTTTAATGGGAGGTATTTTAGAGGCAGAGATTTCTGCATTAGCACGCAGCCACTGAATCCTTTTATCATCCCCCCCTTCAAGTATTAAACGGTGTAAAATGTCTAGTAAAAATATGAAACAGACAAGTTAGAGTGTAATAAGATGAAGAAAAAAAACACCATCACAGGAAACACTGTCATAAACCATGTGATGTTGAGTTGTGCCCATAACCAGTTTGAGTCTCCACTACTGCTTTCTTATCTGTGCAGCCAACATGCATGCAATCAGAAAAAAACAATCCCACCTTAAGTATAAGGCAGTCATTAATAACTGAACATTAGAGATTTGAGAGATCAACTTCTGCATATAATCCTATGAAAAGTAAGTACACCTTATAGTTCAGTAGCTTATAAAACCAACTTGAGCAGCGTTAACGTCAAGTAATCCTTTTGTGTCATTTTCAGTCATTAGGCCTGCATTCCTTTACAGCGTTGCTTTTGTTCATAACAGTGTTCGAGTCAGGTTGAGGTCTGGGCTTGGGCCATTGCAACACGTTGATTCTTCTGTTTTTCAGCCATTCTGTAGTAGACTTGCTGGTGTGCTTGTGACCATTGTCCTGTTGCATGACCCAATTTGGGCCAAGCCTTAGCTGTCAGACAGATGGCCTCAAATGTGACTCAATAATATTTTGGTATACAGGGAAATTCACTGTTGACTCAATGACTGCAAGGTGCCCAGACATGACTACAAAACAAACCAGTTGGTATGTTGTGTTTGTACTGACATGCTCTGTTGGTGTTTTTTTCCAAACGTGGCACTGTGTTATATCAAAGGCCATTGCTCCAGAAGTCTAGCGGTTTGTTCAGATGCAACTTTGCAACCTAAGGTGTGCTAGCATGTTCTCTTTAGAGAGAAGAGTCTTTCTCTTGGTGATCTTTCCAAACGAGCCATACTTGTTAGGTCTTTTTTTTTTTTTTTTAATTGTAGTATCATGAACTTTAACATTAAACATGCTAACTGAGGACTGTAGAGTCTGAGATATAGCTTCTTCTGAGCATTGCATCATCTGAACACGGTAATTTGCGGGGACACTAAGTTCTGGGAAGACTTTGGCATTGTTTTAATACACACCTTACAAGACCTCAGCTTTTATAAAATTATCGAACACCCTTAACTAGAGGCACCTGCTGCTACTTACTTAATTCATACTGTTTTAGCATTTTGTCACAGAACTGTATAGAGCCTTGTGAAAACTTCGTTTTTCACATGAATATATGTGAAAAACATCCAATATCTGAAGTACTGTTATCAATGAAAACTTCACAAAAAATACTTTACTGCGGTGCTTTTTTATTGTAATACTAATCTGACCACTATATAGCACTGGGTTTCCTGCACTTCACCTGCCATCCACAGAAAGAAAAGGAACGCTTCACAGAAAATAATCCATCACAAATAAACCAACTTAAAATGTCACTGTTATTATTATCTGGGGTGACAAAAAGGGGTGTAAAGTGTCTGGGTGATGTGAAATTCACAACATATGTTTGCGGTGATAAAGATCAGGAAACTATATCAAGTCGAGCCCTCTGCGACTCTGACTCACCTGTTGGCATTGAGATTGAGCTTCTCCTCTGTGTCTTTCATAAGCTGTTCAAAGTCCAGATCACTGGAAACACCTGGAACCAGCAGCTCCACAAAGGCATGATCTTCAGCAAAGTCCTCTGGCCACTCCATAGTGCTCTGTGAGATAGGGAAAGCGTTCTTTATCACCACATCATATGTTTACCAGTGTACACACCCCACTTTCTTTCTGTCCCTTTTCTCTTTCTATTCCTCTGCCTTCTTCTCCGGTCTTTCAGCAACCTGGCCTTTACCCGGCATCATACTCACTCGGAGAATAATTTTAATAAATAAATAAATAAATAACATTTTAAAAGACTAACAAAAGGGCCTATAGGGAGTCGACAAAACATTCAGACTATGATTCTGCTTGATAAACTGTCCCATAGGACAGGTTATGTAAAAAAAGAAAAAGATCTGCACCAGGTTATAAAACAAAATAAGGCACAAGGCTTCACTGGTGTCAGGATTGAATCAGCAGTGTAGATTGACATCAATCAACCGCATGATCTAGAGTGTTGTATCAATGCAGATGTTCGAGAAGCGGCGCACACATTCTGTACACCCAGCGCAGACTTTCATGTGATGTAATTTGAAATTTCCTCAAACAGAAGTCTTATTAAGAGGCTCAAATCAATTTCACCTGAAACACCTGAAACAAGGGGAAGTCTGTTATCAACAAGAAACAGCCCCCCCTCCCTTTTTTCTCAGAAAAATCATTTGCAGTTGGAGGGCTCCTGATCAAAATGCATTGCCTGAGCCTCTAACCATTTCCACCTACTGACACTACAGTAAGTTAGCAGAGGAAAAAAAGAACAAATAAATAAACAATGAGGTGAGATGCTCTTCAGTCAAGGCTTTAAATAAACAACTCATCTCCTGTGGTCTCTCCTAGAACTGTGGTGCCACCCTCCCACCCCCCACCTCCACCCTGTGGTGCTTAATGCTCATGCTAACAGCCAATCCCACGGCAGTGCCGCACTGCTGGGTCTCATATCAACATTGTCATCAGCACGAGTCAAGTGGAAGGTAATGGAGAGTGTCTGTGTCAATTTGGCTTTCTCACACTCCGCCTCTCACCCCGTCCTCGTCATCTGCTCTGATTTTAATAATCCCTGTCAAACTCCAAACAGCTCCCTGCACTCCGCTCTGCGTCTTCGCTGCTGCGTACAGTCTATGCCACTCTCCCTGACAGAGTAGACAGGAAGCTCAACATTCATTTAGCCTGCACAAAGGGAGGCCTGTCCAGCTGGACAAATATTATTTTCCTCTGCTGACAGCCTCACCAGTTAAGCTTGTCCTTTATTATTTCTCCCTCTCTTCTTCTCTCTTACTGCTTCCCCTCATCATCACGCTCCCTCTGTGCCACTGACTGAGAGGGGGGTCTATGCCCAGTCACTGCTAAAAGAGAAAAGGATTTTCAATCCACGGATTAGGAACTCAACATTGTAATTATATAGACTGAGCAAGATAGTGTGTGTATGTGAGTGAATTTGAATAGTTTCTTTGTGTGTTTGCGCTTTCTACACTACCGTGCTTCCTTTCAGGTGCTAAAAGGATAGACAGACAGATGGACAGAGGGTCTGAATGTCCTCACTTTATGTCTGCTGGGTGTCTACCTCCTGTTCTGCCATAATATCATCTGTTATCTTAAGCGTGAGTGTGTACATGTAGGTGTGTGTGTGTGTGTGTGTTAGGATTCATCAGGCATCACACAGGGCCTCATTAGTACTATACTTTAAATCATCCAGTCTCCATTGTCTTGTCATTAGCTCTTTAGAAAGCAGATGTTGGAGGAGCCCCTGTGTGTTTCACAGCATTGCAACAGGGACAACAGGGCCAAGCAATGAAATGCTGCCTGCTCGAGACATCAAATCCACAGCTATTAGACCAGGATAGGAAACACACTCTCCCTCTCTCTCTCTCCCTCTCTCTCACACACATCACTGTCCAATCTCTCTTGTTGCTGCTTGTCTAACCCAGCTAGGCTAACACACAGGCCCATTTACAGTAATGAGTTTGTCCTGAAATATTTAGCAGCGTATCCCCAGGCTGACGCTTTAAAACCACTTAGAGCATGTCAAGTTAAAGTCAACATTATTTTAAAGAGGGTACCTAACAGTCTGTTTTAAAGGAAACATAATAAATTAAACAGGTGCATAATCTAAGATCACAATGGTGCTGAGAACTATCTCATTAATACCCAGAGGAGGCCACTGCTTCACTGTTACAGTGCAACCAAGTGGCCCTCTACATTACTTGGATTTTGACTCATGATCTTGACTGGCTACTTTATCACTGGCTTTGTAAGAGGCACAACTCTTGTAAAAATGTATCGGTCACTTTTGTCTTTGCTTTGGGAAATATGTGGATATAATATCTTCCTAAAATATGCTGTGTTAAACCATCCAGATTTCAGAACGCAACAACTTTTTCCTCAACCTAAAAAATGCCTATGTGATTAGCCTACACAGAGGGAATGAATAATACATGACTTCCCAATCTCCTCGACGACCAAATATTACTTGTTTTTGTTGTTGTTTTGTTGAGTAGTTACCATCATTCAGCAGTATTAAAGTACCCTGAGCAATGAGTCAATTACAACCCTTTAAAAAAAAAAAAAGACAATATTGTGACACTGGAGCAGATCATATATCTTAGCTTATTGCAAATGCCATGAGTTCAGCAAACTTCCGATCCTAAAGATGCATTTAGTGCACATGCACAAAAAGACTGAATGTTGGAAAATGATTACTGTACAGAGGATAAAAATGAGACAAAAGTAAATAAATTAATATGATTTAAACTGGATGAATGCAAATGATTAAAACTGGTTGATATATGTTGCAGTAAAAAAAACAAACAAACATGGAAAATCATTTCCTTTGAGAGGTTAGTACTAGAAATTGCTTTTGCTTTTACACCACTTTTTAAATCATAGATAAATGATCATTTATCAGAATTATTGTTGATTACGTTTTCCAATGTCAGTTTGTCAACTGGGGCTCCAATAAAACCTGGTTCTAACTGATAGAAGCTGGATCATCATGGTTTACTCCCTTAAACATACCCAGGGTCGCACATCTGTAAATCCCTAATAAACTGGGTCCCACCTCAGAAGCTGAGAGAAGTGTAATAAAAGATGAAACCCACTGGGCCAGCTTCCTCCTTTAAAAGGTCTGGAAGCGACTCAGAAAAGTGGCTGTCAGACTTAAGAAAAAAAGGCATGTAATGACAATCTTCAGATGGAGAAAATGAACTGAAAAAAATGATGATGATGATGATTATTACTATTACCTCCCCTAAAGAGGTTTTTTTTTTTTTTGGTAGCATTTGCAAGCCCAGGTCATTCTGTCTGTAAACACGGCAGTTTGAAAAGTTTTGTATGAATCCTGATTAGACTTTGTAGTGTTGTAGAGTTGAGTCATGTTAACAATCTATTAAAATTTGGCTTACATTCACCAAGGTCCTCAAGGTCAACTTAATGATTCACTGGTTGAAAATTGACAAAAAGCCTTATAACTTATATAAGGCTTTATATAAACTATAATCCTTACAAGTGTTGTGTGTATCGTAAATCTATAGAAATTACAACATAAAGATTTAAAATATCACATTACATTTGACTGCTGACCTCTCCTTCAAGGTCAATAGACTGATCTGAAGGTAAACGTTACATTGCTATATAGAGCTATTTAAAATGGTTTCTTAGTGCCATTGATTGAATTGACAACATAATATAAAAAAAAAAATTTAGGGAATGATATACGGGGATTCTAAATATAATAATATATATTATAATAATATATAATAATAATAATAATAATAATAATAATAATAATAATAATAATAATAATAATAATAATAATAATAACAATAATGATAATAACTGCTGTTCTGGATCCCAACAAAAACACTATTCAGTGCATTATAAATCATATAAAGCATATTTTATTCCCAGTAGAAAACAGGAAATAACACGTGTTTAAACTGGTCTAATGTACAATTTACAAGTTAATTTTGAATTAGATGGCAAAAATCTCTTTAAAAAAAAAAGTTGGGATGGGGGCAACAAAAGGCTAGCAAAGTAAATGATACTAAAAGGAAAAAAGAAAATTTGCAACCAGCTTGGTTAACTGGTGACAGTTCAGTAACATGAATGGGTATAAAATGAACATCGGAGAGAAGCAGTGTCTCTCAGAAGATGAGCAGAAATTCACCAATCTGCAAAGAACTCTGTGTACAAATTGTGAAGTTTTAGAGAAGAGAACTGTTCCTCGGATGCCACTTTAGCTCAGTGGGTGAGCAGGTGACCACATGCCAACTCACTGGAGTGCTGGGCACAGGTCCAAGTTTGAGTCCAACCTGTGCACCGTGTCCTAACCCTCTCTCTCTCTCTCTCTCTCTCTCTACTTTCCTGTTTATCTTCACTACTCCACAATCCAATACTTTTTTTAATGCCCAAAAAAGAACAATGTTAACTGCAAAGGTATGTCTGCTGTTATGGAGGTGCATTAGTACCTATAGAATTGGCAGCTTACACATCTAGAAAGGCACCATTAATTCTGAAAGGTAAATACACATTTTAGACCAACATATGTCCCAAACCATAACCCCAAGAAAACCACATACTGCAGATATGACATCAACAACATGACTTCATAATAGAAGAATCTGGGTGCCGAACTGCCTGCAGACCAGGCCTTTCAGCAACTGAAAACATTTGGCATATAATGAAATAAAAAAATACAAGAAAGAAGACTGTTGAGCCAGAATTCTCTGTCAGATAAGAATGGGACAACATTCCGCTCCCAAAAGTCCAGCATCTCTCATCATTTCCCAAACATTTATGGACTGTTGTTAAAAGAAGAGGGGATGCTACACATGAACATGACCATGTACCAAATTTGTCTGAAATGTGTTGATGTCATCAAATTCAAACTGACCTTTTCGTTCTTCTTTAAATGATACATTTCTCAGTTACACATTTGATATGTTTTCTATGCTCTTTCATAAAACAAAAATGTGGGTTTATGTGATTTACAAATCTTTCCATTCTGTTTTTTATTGACATTTCACACAGTTTTCCGATTGTTCAGATTGGGTTTGCAAATGTTACAAGACTCATTTCCGGGATTCAACAGATAAAAGCTTATCACCGAAAGAGTTGAGCTGGTTACTGTCACTTGCTCTTTATGGGGGGTGTTTGGCCAAGCACTGACACATTCTGACCTTCCAGATCAGACTTTTTTTTTTTTTTTTTTTTTTTTTTTTTTACATCCTAATAATTTCATCCATACAACAAAAGAAAAGGAAAAACACTGCCTATCATATCTATAAAACCCCATCTAAAGGCAAAATAAGCACCTGTAACCAGTTAACACACTAAAACCAAACTGTGCCAAGACATTTCTCAATTAATGATTCTTCCCCTCGCTATTAATGATAATTTTATGATTACAAAGCAAAGACTTAGCCATATTGTTGTTTTGATAATGAAAGAAAACCACAAAGAATACAGACAGGCCCTGCTGAGACTCTTGACTTTTACCTGCTTGTCGTAGTTCCTGCCATACAGCCACACACAGACCTCTAAGCTCACAGCATGCAAGGAAGTGGTACTGCGTTTGCTTATTTTGACAGTTCATCTGTATCTTTAAAAAGCCGTCTCGTGTGTCGTATAAAACAAAAGAAACCCGAATGAAGCCACTCGACTCACTCAGCGTTGCATGTTATGCGTGTCCTACCTTACGAAAGCTCTTACTTAATCCATCCGGTGTTAATCCATTACCGGCGGGGAAAATGTGACCGACATCATTTGTAGTCACTTCATGCTGATATCTGTCTGCGACAACTATTTGTAGCTAATAACAAAAACCGAGACAATTCAACAGCCAATAAAAATATTATATTGCATTACTATGACAGGATATCCACCGCTGTCACCAAATATTGCACTAAGCATTTTATGTACACCGTTTCCCGGGCAGCCGATATGGCAGAAGTCGCATGTCACTTTTATTGGTTATCTATCGATAAAATATCCCCGTTACTCAACCGCTAGTTATTTTTTGGTGATTTCCGGGGACTGAAAGCGTCCGTGACAACAACCCGGAAGTAGCTCTATGAAAACTTCCGCTCGGTGGAAAATTCCAACTGAGGAATCAAATGGTAGGCAAACGCTTTCGCCTTCGGGAATTAATAGCATAATTTTTACATATCAAAGATGATATTTTATTTAAAACATATATTTAATATATTCTGACGTCTTTTTTAAATCAAGTATATAGCCGTTTGTTATTGAGAATGCATGTTAAAAATGTTAAGATATGAGAGATCCCCCCCTGTCTTTCCAAAACAAGTGGATTCCATAAAGCTGCTCAAACTTGCAATTTGGGTGGTGTACTCGCGTGTAATTTTTCTCATTAAACTTATCGTTTGGCCGTTATATTGAACATTTATCCACACTAAAGAGCGAATGCGCCATGGATTTTTGTTTGGGACGGTTAATGTAGCTTCGGATAAAGTAGCCACACACTGGTCGAAGTTTATTCACTTTGTTGGATGTTTTTGTCAGTGACAAGAGTTTGGCGCGCCCGGGTGTAATTGGAAGTTACCACTGGTGGTATGACCGAGGTACTTGATCAGCTGTGCCATTAAAACAGTTGACATTGCTTATTGAATAGAAAAGAACCAATATTTTTTTTCTTGTTAGTTAGTCTACTCTGACGCTGCAAAGCAAATGATATGCCAGCAAGCCTTAGTTAATTATCAACTGAATACAATTTTGTCACGATCTGTGTAAGTATTGACTTTGTTTGATGAATTTTGTAAACGCTAATATCCTTGATGTGCAGTTTGAACAGTACATTGTTCTTCCTGATGTACCAAGAGTGAAAGCTTATCGTGAAAACGATCTAAGTCATCTAGTCAAACAAGAACTGCAACATTAGATTGGCCAATGAATGATGCGATCTATCTTAACTTATTGTCTCCTACAGTTTAACGAAGTACTTCATTTTGGCTCTTCTTCAATTTCTTCGCGAAGATGGAGACCTGCACACACGTCTTCCAGATTTCTGGGATCAAAATCCGCGATGAGAAGAGAGTTCTGATCCAGGGAATTCAGCAGCTGGGTGGGAAATACATTGGTGGCTCAGTGAGTAAGATTGAGATCCCTCAGTAGATTTTAGGGAAATGCCACGTGCACTTGTGCCCAAGCTGAAGGGTTGCAGCTTGTGAATGATTTCATTTTTCTTCCTGATGCTTTTAGTCTTTATTCAGTCTATGCGATGTAAGAAAACATAATAGTTAGAGACTAATCATAAACTAAAGTAATGATGACAGTGTTTAGACACCAATCAAAAAGGAAATGCACTTGTTCCTAAAGTAGCTGACTGAATGAATTACTTGCTGTGCTTGCTGTCAATCATTAATTAGTTCTGTGGAAGTCTGTGTTCTGTGTCTTTATCTTGACAGTCCAAGTAAAGTTTTCAATTGTATTTTTATATTTATATATTGCTTTGATTATCCCTCTACACAAATGAGAACAAAACTATTAGTGTATATGTAGAATTTCAATTCAAGTGTTGTTAAACAGCAAGGATCTTTTTTTAATACAGCTTTTCCAAGCGTCCTAGTTTTATTTTTGATCTTATTTCACACACAGAACCAAAATTATTGCACAAAACCCCAAAACTATCAGGGTTAAAATTATTAGACCTTTGTGCAGGTCAGTCAATAGCGCTAACTTTGACCTTTGGTTTGCATCGTCGTTGTGTTGAAAGACGAAGCAGCAAACCAGACCCAGTTCTGCTGCTGACTGCTTAAGGTTTTCTTTCAAAATCTTCATATCCTTTTTTTCATGATTCCTTTCATGGAGATGAGATTCCCACTTCAGGACGCACTGAAGCACACAGCATAATACTCCCACCACCGTGTTTCACTTTGGGGATAGTGTTCTTTGGGTTGTATGTCTCACCCTTCTTTCTCCAAGGATAAGCAGGGTCTCTCTGGCCAGAGAGCCCTGGTTTTGTCTCATCTGACCAAAAGATGTGCTTTCAGCATGTGCAGTCTTTCTGCAAAAGTGGAGTTTTTCTTAATCTGCAACCTCGCAGTCCATTCTTGTGCAGGTGTCTAATGATTGCCTTCTTTGAGTATACAATTTACAACTTGGCTAAGTCATTCACTAGTCTCTTGGAAGTTGTTCTGGGGTCTTTAGAAACATGGAAACACTGTGATAACTTTGTATCCATCTCCTACTTTGTGCATCAACAATTCTTTTTCTCAAGTCTAAACTGTTTTCTTTCTGTTTTTGTCATGAAGCTCAAACTCTTGCTGAAGTTTTTATACTGTGCGTAAGTTGGAAGGTAGCTCTCGGTTTTCACATGATTTTACAAATTTTGAGCAAAGCTAGTGTAGAAATGCTGTTAAAGAAGCACTAGGGAAATTTCAGACAAAAACTATAAATGTCAAAGGGGAGCTGATTACTTTGCCCTGATTTGCAGCTAAATCAGATGGTACAGCCTAGCATCCTCATCTATTAACTTACATGATAAATGTGAATAAATGAACTGGGGATCCACCTAAAAGTGGAACACTGTTAGTTGCACTGAACATCTGTTGTTGATTTCAAACTGCAACTGTTGCGTTATTGACAAGCTCCACTTATAAAACTGTCTTGTGATGATTACATATAACCACCTTAAACTGCCTTCTTATAGGTATATCAGCACGCTTGCACCCATCTCATAATCCCTCAGGTGTTGTCCAGCGAGAAGTTTTTGGCAGCTTGTGCTGCAGGTGAGTCATGATGGCTGTGAATTTCATGTCAGTGGATCTTTGTTTTCGTTGCTATTTTAGCCTACATACATTTAACGTAGCCATAAAATGCTTCATTGTTTCTTAAGTTTTTTAAGTCCTAGAGGTAACATAACACATTTTATTGAATTTCTTCCCTCTTGCTGCTCGTCTCTTGCTAGGAAAGTGGGTTGTAACTCCCGACTACGTGCTGGACAGTGTTAAGAATGGCTCCTGGCTCGCAGAGGAAATCTATGAGGTGGCCATTTCCACAGGTTCCTCTGCTGCCTTCTACCCTGTCAAACAGTGGAGAGAGAAAGTGGCCAGTGGGAGACTGAAAGGGGCCTTTCAGGGCTGGAGGGTGCTCCTTATGGTCCAAGGGTCCACACGCAGAGCAATGTTCAAACGGTTACAAACCCTTGTTCTCTTTTAACCCATGTTCAAATAAAACGAGTGTCTGGTTAATTAATACATTTTTGGGTTGTTTTTTTTTTTTTTTTTATTCATTCACAGACTCCTAAAAGCAGGCAGGGCTGAGGTATATCACTGCCCTCCCCCCTCTTATGCCTCTATCACTCATGTCATGGCGAAACCTGTTACAGAATCCTCAAAATCCCACAGTGCTCCTTGTTACCCTGTGAGCCACATAGTCCAGCACCTCTTTGGGGTAAGTCATAAGAATGCATGTTTTAAAAACATATAAAAAATAATAATAATTTAAGCAACATATTTAAAACTGATTATTATTATTAAAAAATTATTTTATTTTTTTTAATTTTCTTTTGGGGGGGTGGTGATTTAAATATTTTATATGGTCTTCATTTATATGTGCACATACTAGTCTAATCTTTATTAAACAGTTCATGTTAAAAAAATTATCTTGTAGACTGAAAGCCTATTGTTTGGGGGTCAAAGCAATCGTGTGGATATGAATTTCAACATGACAGAAGAGCAAGAGGCTCATCCAGCAGATGTGAAGGAGAATTTCTCTACTCTGGAGGCGGAGCTTAAGACATATATCAAACAAGTGGTGTGTATTTGGGTTTTTTATTTTTTTTATGAGTGATTTTGTGTTTTCTTGACATCATTTTCTTTTCTTTCTTTTTGTTGCTTCTAGGGCCAGCCAAGACTGTGCTTCCTTGAATATTTGGGCTACCATGACCCCTATAGTCCCCTGGCTCAGGTAGATGTGCAGACATATCAACCCCCACCCTTGATCACTACTGTACATCTCTACAATAACTATGTGTTTCATCAAGAGGCTCAGGTCATTTAATTTCCTTTATGTCATGCATTTCAATGGAAAGTGACATCTAGAGCAAGGGCGCATCATACCCAGGTCACAATTTAACCACCACTGTCAGCTGATCTGAGAGTTTTGATTGGCAGGCCTATTAACAATACTCTCCACTGTCCTGTCCATACCTTACCCAAGTGGATATTACTAATAGAAGTGCTCATGTTTTTCCATATGCCATTTACCCATAACAGACAGTCAGAAATGACCCCCAAGAACTTTTAAAGCCCATTCACTTCCTATTTCCATTACCCTTCTGCCCTCAACTCTTTCTGCCATCCATCTCTCTGAGTGCTGTGTTTCCTTCTGCTTTCCATATACCTCTTGAATTTTATCATTGTTCTTGTATTTCTCCAGGCAACAAAAATGGACTTCAGCAATGTTGGCTGCATGATAGAGTGTGGCCTCTTCACTGAAGCCTTGGACTCAATCAGAAGTGGTGTGTACCCAGGCCTCCTGCCACCGGCGCCGCACCTGATCTCCCTCTTAGAATACGCTCAGCAGGTAGGCATTACCATACTGCAGAAACTCCCACCTACTGCTAGTGTAATATCCTCAGGGGCTGCACAAAAGTAGAACTTGCTCTACATTTTTGAGTGTGGATAGCTGGCTTTGAGAGGTCTTTTTATTGGTTTTACTGTCTTTTGATTAAACTGTAATTTAGAGATGTAACATAATTAATTTAGTTATTGTACCTTTTTTTTTTTTTGATAAGTAATTTTGTCAGTGAAATATCAGATCTCATCACATCCTCACATTTCCATCAAATATTTAACTTTATGTGACCAACAGTTCAAAATCAGAACAAGAGCGTGCACAGTGATAGCAAACAAACAAACATACTGTATTTACTCTGCATCATCCTGGACCAGCTGGAAATAAGTTTTACTAATTACTTTACTTAACTTTTACTTATTTACTTATTTAAAAAGAACAAAACAAAAACTTAAATTATTGTTTGGCTCTAATTACATTCTTGGCATCGTCACATCCATTATTTAAGAAAATAAATAAATTGTAGCTTC